GGGTCGCTACACGCCAAGCCCTCGTAGATTCTCCTCTGCCGACACTTTCCAACCCTAGAAACTACACCGGGTAATTTCTGAGGGATGAGTTTATCGTACTTAGGGAATGAATGGAGTGATAAGTAGTTTGACCGGTATACTTTTTCCCGAAGTACACCGGTCAAATTCGGACCGATCAAATACCCACTTGCTGACGATTAAAGTCTCCCTTTCCAGAATTTTCAAGATTGACCGGTCAACTATTTGGTCTTCTCCTTTGATCGGTCATGGGTGGAATACACCCATCAACAAGGATGAATGGAACCATGTAATAGTTTGACCGGTATACTTTTCTAAAGTATACCGGTCATCTTTTGACCGATTTGAGTGTCCTCTAGCTGATGATTAACGTCCTTCTCCTTAACTTTCAAGATTGACCGGTCAACTATCTGGTCTCTTCTTTGACCGGTCATGGGTGGAATACACCCATCAGAAATATTCATTTGTAAAACTTAAAAACAAAGTTTATACATTGAAAATTATATTATTATTATGAAGTTTACAATTTTTTGACAATGTTTGGTGTAAATGCATGACTATGATGTAAAAACATGTGTGCTATGTAAAGTTGTAAAAGGAAAAAATCGAATATTATGAAATTTTATTTATATTTGGCAAATGATACCGTTATTCATATTCATATTTGTTTCTTATTTTAATAGATGTTACTATTTGGATTGGATTTGATTTTAATTTCAAATATTCGCTTTGTATTCATATTCGTTTATAAAATACAATTTTTTATTTTTTTACATTTTATAGCTTCAAAAATTATAAAAAAAATCTTGCTTTAAACATTTGATCAAAATTGAAATTGGACTCTCAATTTGGGCACCAAAATTGGATTAAACATTGACTCACTCCCTAGATCTGCATCTACTAATTTTATACAATTTCACGTTCTTCAAAGTTCCAATGTCTTAAGTCGCAACCCAAATTCTCCTTGCATGTGACTCTCAACTCTTATCATCATTCTACAAACTATTCTCCATATCATTTGTTACCCATCCTGCAAATCATATAACCAATTATTTTCACCACTTTGACTGAAAAACATAAGATGTTATAAATTAATATTCTGTTATAAATTATTTTTACCCAAGTTTTGAATACTAAGAGTGTCAAACCCAACTAAGCCTTACCTGTGTTATTGTATGGTTTATACAAAATCATGCACTCGTGTTCTATTGTTTGTTCATTGTAACTTTTTGATAAGTCCTGATTCTTTTGTCACATGCCATATTTGGTCGAATTTGTAGGGTTTACTATTATTCATAATATATTGTTGTAAAGATATGATAATTATTTAAAATTAAAAAGAAAATATCAGAATAGCTTAAATATAATTATAAATACGTGTTGATATATTTGCCATTTTTAATGCAAAATCCAATTGCTAGCACAAATTTAAGTATTTTAAAATATAATTGCTCTTAACTTGTTAGGTTGACTAATCCTAAGTAATCTGAACCCAATGGAACTAAACCCAAACATTAACTTGTTGGTGATTTTAGTGTCATCAATTTATTTTGTGTAATTGGATTTACTTTGATCGGACAAGAATTTAAATAGACGTTGTCAAACGAGTTAGGAGGCGCGGAGTGTTGGGAAAAATATTATAGATTTTGATGATGATTTATGTAATAGGGACTTTAGGTCTCCCCCAATATTCAATGTAATTTTTCTTTTTAGAAATATTGTTAAAACCAAGTTCTTGAGTTTTCCAATAAAACTGTGATATTTCTTTAAGCGTTTTGATGCCTGAAGACTTGATCAAATTCAGTGATATGAAAATTGGATATCTTGATCGGAAGTGTCAGAAACAAGTAAGGATTTCTCACTCAGATCCGGAAAGACTACATAAGAACCGGATGTCTCGCTACAACCCGCTGAAGGCTAAGTCATTCAAATCGGAAGACTAGCGCGGATCTCCTTCTCACCCGGAAGTAAGACTCATCCGGATTTGTCAGCTAAGAATCGGAAGACTCACCAAAGACCGGAATTCTCAGAAAGCGGACAAGTGAGAAAAAGCTTAGAAAATCATCTAAGTCCTGAATGAAGAAATTCTACCCGTGGCAAGGAAAAATCAATCTCTTGATTTTCAACGGCTAGAATGAAGATAATTAGGCTGATTCAAGAACAAATTACTCGAAGACAAAGTCTGGGTCTTTAAAAATAAAAGAGCCTGCCCGGAATTCCTAAACAAGCACTAGAAGACAAACAGAGTAAAGTGC